AAAAAAGGAGTTTCGGTATACTCTACATTCACACCATAATTGTAAAATTAAATATGGAAAAAGGATCAGAACGAAAACGATAGCGCTGACAAAACTGACTAAATCCAGCTCCCAGAGATGAAAAAAGCAAAGGATACCATATCATATGAAATTTTAAGTGGAAGAGCACTTAATTTAGAGAACAATATTTAGCAGAAACCTACTATACTGAGAAAAACCTTACTGTATCTCACTTGAGACAGAACAGTAACCAATTTGAAGATGCTAGATAGCAAAGCAGAGAGGAGTTCAATTTACACAGTGTCTTTCTATTAAAAACTCTTGAAAACTAAATAGGCCTCCTGCTACCTGCAGGGAGGGATTCATGGAGGACTTAGATTCAATAACATCTCAGAAATATTAGCAGTCCGTGGCACGTTGTATGGATGACTTATGAACCCCAATTCTAAAATTTAATGAATTACAGGGAGGGAATACTACTGCCCCTTCAATTTGTTAAAATAGATGAGTAGAAAGGATTTAGTCAAAGACAAAGGTTCAATGATAGTTCTACAACTTATTAAGTAATATGTGGCAAAAACAGATATTCACTAACACTGTGCTTCAAAATGTTTCACAATTAAGTATATAAATACCTTAACTAAGAAAACTATTACACAAATTCAGTATGTGTATGTACAGACACACACACACACACACACACACACACACACACGTGCACCGGAGGTGAGGAAGGAGTGAGTCTGGCACTTAAGTTGATCCATACATTGCAGGCATTCACTCATTCAAAAAATTTCATGCCACAAAGGTAATATTTCTCTATCATTTATTAATAATATATTGAATAACAATTCATTTTCTGCTATCTCACTTGTTTTTCAAATCTAAGTAATGCATGTTTCGGGTTCTCTTCCGCTTCTATGCAATCACTATTTGTGTATAAGTGATGTTTATGATGTTTTGTTTAATCTTCCTTTTGTTGGTTACTTTTCTGCCTTCTTTGACATAAAATCAGTCTTAGTACATACTAGCCATTATGCACTCTCGCTAAAAAAAATGTATACTGTTGCACAATCATTTCAACTAAACTGGACAATACAGTACATCAGTGTAATCAACCACAGATGTTTTCCTATTCTTTTTATACCTCAAAATGGCTTACTCATTGCTGAATATACCCTTATGAAATATTTAAGTGAATAAAAATCCATTCATTGTGTAATTATTGTTAGAAATCTTCATTACTAACAAATGTTTAATGAAAAAGATGGTCCAAGACTTTTCCTCATTCGTAATAAACCTATTTTTTACTGAAACAAATCAACATTTAATGTAACAATCAATATTATTCAACCAAGTATTTTCAGATGGTATGTAATTGATCTTTTATTCTTCCAGAAAATCTGCAACTGTTCAGATATCTTAGTTTGCAATTAAATATCTTGCACTCAGTTACTTATTAGAAGAGCACACTGCTTAACATTCCAATGTTTAAGACAGAAAGAAAAGAACAATTACATACTAATTACAATAATGAAAAATTTTCAGGAACAGCATTTTCTAACACGTTAATAACAAGCTTAAATATATATCAGATTTAGTACTACATGACACTATTTCATTGCTATCAGACACAAAAATAAAAGTAGTCTTTTTTTTTTTTTTAGTAGGTAAGAAGGAACAAGAAACTGCTGCTTGGAAAAAGCAACTAAGCACATAAGTTTTAAAAGTATCATGAGATTTGCATTAATACAAAGAATGATGATAATGTTTAAATTGAAAATTTCATTATTCTAATGTTAAAACAGGAAACATGTAGATTACTTATTACAAAATTTTAGAAAATCATGAAACTTACCAGTAAAGTTACATTTAAAGTTTCACTGAATGTAATTCTACAAATTCAGTTTAATTACAGATTATTTTTCTTTTTTTAAGTTGGGTGAAATATGAGAAGTGAATTCTGAAGAAAATGCCTGTAATCCCAGCACTCTAGGAGGCAGAAGTAGGAGGAACTCAAGTTCAAGCAAAGCCTGCCCAAGCTCATGACTTAAGGAGAACTTGTCTCTAACATTAAAAAAGGGTTAGGGCCTTAGCTCAAGCGCAGAGGTTCTCCTTCAATTCCCAGTATGAAGAGGGGTGGGGCTTAATGTAAGGCAATCAAAAGTACTTTATGTGGCACAAATCAACTCACTTAAGAACATAAGGCTAATGTCTCTCAAAAGGAAAGTTCAAGTTGAAAATAATTCACTAATGGAAGAAAAATTAACTTCACAGGTTCGTATGTGCAAATGTTATTTGCAACACTTTATACAGTTAATCACATTATTATAAAACAACTCACAAGTAAACTTCAGACATTAAACTATATTACTAATAAGTAGTAAGGAAAACATTCTCTTTTCCTTACGTAGTAAATTCTTTTATAAAACTAAAGTTCCATTTCCGTAGTATCGCTTTTAAGAGACAAAGACTAAGTCAATACAACTGTGAGAGTCAAATTCACTGATACAGACAACTCAAAAGCATCTGCCTTCCATTAGTTTGGGTTGGGCAGACAAGGAAGTTAACTTTCCCAGTTTGAGTATGTCCCTCTATCTCTGTCAAGTGCGCTTTAAGTAAAACACAAAATTCTACGGTCTCTACACAGGAAGAACTAACAGCAGGTCTGGTTTTGCTTTTATAAATAATGTCAGAAAAATAAAAAATGGTTTGTAACTTGCCATTTATCAATGCAGTATTTCCAGAACGCTAAGTCTTTAAATGTTAAGCAAGGTAGGGTTTTAGCAATGAAGATCTAGACACTGTATGCATCATGTACCTCTTCCACATCATCTCTCCACCTGCTCCTCCCTATCCTGCCTTCATCCTTTCTTCTACTTGTTTTAAGCAGAACTGGCCGAAAAGGGCTCGAAGCATTGTAAGTCTAAGATTCAAACCATTTCAAAAGATACGTTTCCAACCGAATGTATCCTCAAGAAATTCCTGCCAAACACCCGAATTCTCATTAACAGGCTAAAAACAGTTCCACAAACATACCAAGTCTATTTCTTTTATTGTTTAAAAAATAAGAAACACATATTCTAATCTATTCCCTTAGGAACAAGAATGCCTTACCCACACAAATGACAAAACAATTCTGTTCCTTCATTTCCCTGCTACACAACAGCTTCGTTGTCTGTCCTTCCTACCCAGGAGTAATTTCATATTGATCATCTTGGTAGACTCGGACTCTATTGGGTATAGTCTCTGTCTTCTTTATATTCTTGGGGAAAAAAATAAGTAAAACTCTACTGAAAACCAGGCAACAGAGATTTGGGGATTTAAAATGTAAATCCCTTATCTTCCCGCTCTGTGTTAGGTTGCCGCTAACACGTTTTCCCCTTGCAAAAATGGAAGGAAAGTGTACCAAAACGCTACGTTCAATCCTAGGACAATGAAGGCGACAGGAAGCCACTCTCTCCTCCCCTGGGCTTACTACGGAGCCAGAGCCGACGCGGGGTGCAGTCGCCAGGCTGGGTGCGTGACACGACGTCTTTCATGCCCTCCCAACGCGGCCACCGGCTCGTCCCCTGACCTCCCCCAAACCGGCTCCCACCCCGAAACCAATACAATAGGGATGGGCACCCCGCTCGCTCCCGGGATGGGGGAAATCCCGTACCCCAGCGGCCGCGCAGCCACTCGCTCCGATGCTCCGCCCGCACCCTCCGCGAACTGCTACGGCGCAGGGGGAAGGGTGCACAAAGCCCGGCGGCGCGGAGAACGACCCCACACTCCGCGGG